ACAGACAGACAGACAGACAGACAGACAGACAGACAGACAGACAGACAGACAGACAGACAGACAGACAGACAGACAGACAGACAGACAGGGGAGGGTGCAGGTAGACAGACAAGAAAATCCTTCTGACCCTATTCAGATTCAAACCCCAAACTTCCGGACGGCATGTCAGATCCCTAACCTACTACGTCATAGCAGCTGATGGATTCCCAATAGAGGTCTCTCTTTAGAAATAGGCACGCAATTCGATGACGTCATTTCAATGAAATTTCATCCGCACCCCGCACGTCGTTACCTTTTTACAACACTTCATTGAGAGAAGAAAAATTATGTGATTTTATTGCTGAAAGCACTTATCAGATCCATAAAAGAATCTTTAAGAAAAGTGCACAAAATGTTTTATGTGACAAGCTAATCCAGGCTATTGCGCCCACATTGCTAGGACGTTCACATTGCATTGGCGATAAATGATTTTATTTCATTCATTAAAAGGAACCGCCGCCAAACAGAATAAAAATCTGTTGAACGCCAAAAAATTCTTGAAGCGCTGTGGGAGAAAATAAAACGACAAGCAGACATTCCTTGTCTCCTCAAAGAAAAGAAAATAATAAAATAAAAAAACACACACACAAAAAAATCCAACCCAAACTGCCCAACGGGTGAACATTCTGGAGAGACAAATCTCTGAGACCTGGAGACAGAACATGGCGCTCCCTGTGACAGATCCGGGGAGCCCAAACGCTGCTGTGATGACAGGCGTGAAGAATGAAATGTCTCAAAACTCCGGACGCCTAAGGCTTTGTTCCAGAAACGTCTATCCCATTGTCTGAAGGAACGCGGTGCAGCAACAACAACATATACACGCTTCAGGGACAGGCGCACGTCTCATATTTGGGTTGGGTTGTTTGGTTTGGTTTTTATTGTTGTTGGTGGTTGAGGGGTTCAAAATAAAACAAACACGTTTCGAATAATTGTTTACCATCTTTGGCTCCCTCCAGTGTAAGCAGGGCAGTTCCGTTTTCATTTTTCTTTCTATTTGTCTTTCTCCTTCATTTTTATTCATTAATTTTTTTCTGGATTTGGGGGGGGGGGCGGGGGGCTTATTTACACCTATTCCACACACGGAACAACAGAATATTGGTCTTTCTTCACAATACAGACCAACGTTTCCTTTTAAACGGGTCCAGTAAATGGAATTATTAGCATCCCATCCCCACAGCCACCATCACCAAATCCTTCGCAATCATCGGGAGCTTACAGCGTGTTTCTTTTTTATCTCTCTAGAAAAGGGAATATAGAAGGCGAGAGACAGAGGTAAGCCAAGTAAAATTCATTTCGAGACCCTGAACGGGAAAAGAAAAGGATGATATAGATTCTTTTAGATCATCTGAACGAAGATATGACAAGCAAATCATGATTGCCGATATCTGTCAACATCTTGCACTTGAAGAAGAAGAAGAGAAGAACAAGAACAAGAACAAGAAAAAGAACAACAAGAAAAACAAGAAGAACAAGAACAAGAACAATAAAAACAAGAAGAACGAGAAGAAGAACAAGAACAAGAACAAGAAGAGTAATAACAAAAATATCAAGAATCAGAACAAGAAGAACGGGAACCAGAACAGGAACAAGAAGAAAAAGAACTAGAAGAACAAGACCAAAAACAAGAATCAGAACTAGAAGAAGAAGAACAAAATGAACAAGAATTCCTGTCTAGACTGTCACTAGACACATGTGTACAGAGAAGTTCCCTTACCTCTAACAGATGAGCAGTGACCGGCCTCCACAGCACCTCCACACGACCCAGGTTGACCAGTCCACTCTCCAATAGCTTGGCCACGGCGAACAGAGACGGCTCCTGTGAGTGTGGTG